AAGTCTAATTTGCTCAGTCATTGAAAGAACTGCTAGAAATGTGTCTTAAAGAGAAATTTGGACAATGAAAGATGAAAGATATGGGTATGCAGATAAACCAAAGTATTATCTATAACAGAAAAATCACCTCCTCCAGGGCTTGTTTTTACTGTTCGAGCTCAAATATTTGAATTACTGACCTACCAGACCAGCCCCTGATCTGGACTCTCCTAGGTAGCTGCTAGGCATGGGCAGGGAACATTTCCAATGAGTTGTATGGGCCTCTTGCTTTGGGAGCTAAACCAGCTTCACAGTATGCAGATATGCTGTCCATGCCAGATGCTGTACTAGTACATGTGTAACCTGTTATTCTGATGTGAGATGTATCAGTGAGATGCTCTTCTCAGCTCTTAGCTGGCAGTGGGGAAGAAGACTGGCCAGGCTGAACAGAGAGCTTTAACTAGGACTCAGGGGAAAAAATTAAAAGAGGATTTATGACCCTTAGAAGAAGGGGCAGGAAACTCAGGAAGAGTACAAGGATGTTGTTAGGTCATGAAGAGAGAAAATTAGAAAGGTGAAAGCCCAGCTAGAAGTCCATCTCACCACCATGGTAAAAGATAACAAAAAAATGTTTTTACAAATAAATTAATAACAAAAAGAGGGCCAAGGAGAATCTCCAGCCTTTATTGGATGCAGAGGGAAACACTGTCATGAAGGATGAGGAAAAGGCCGAGGTACTTAATGTCTTTTTTTGCTATAATCTTTAACAGAAGGACCAGTTATCCTCAGGGTAGTCAGACCCCTAAGCCGGTAGACAGGAATGGGGTGCAGAATAAATCTCTCATAATCCAGAAGGAAGTAGTTAGTGACCTGCTGAGCCACCTAGACACTCACAAGTCTATGGTGTTGGATGGGATCCGCCTGAGGCTACTGACAGAGCTAGCAGAAGAGCTCACCAAGCCACTCTTCATGATTTACCAGCAGTCCTGATTATTCAGGGAGGTCCCAGATGAGTGAGGGTTGGCCAATGTGATGCCCATCCACAAGAAGGACTGGAAGGAGGATCCAGTGAAAAACAGGCCTGTTAGTCTGATCTCAGTGCCAGGCAAGGTTATGGAACAGATCGTCTTGTGTGCAATTACACAGTGTGTGAAGTACAACCAGGGGATCAGGCCCTGCCAGATGGGTTTAGGAAAGGCAGGTCCTGCTTTACCAACGTGATCTCCTCTATGACAGGGTGACCCACTTAGTGGATGAAGGGAAGGCTGTGGATGTTGTCCACCTGGACTTCAGTAAAGCCTTTCCCACAGTTCTTCAAATTCCACCTTCATAACACCTTTCAAGAACAAACTCACGCTTGCCGCCTCAGTAATACCGTACTATAATAATATTTATGTACATAAATACAGCTTTATTCTGTAACACTCGTGGTCTACGCCCAGTCCTTCGTTATCATACTGAACCAAATCTACTCATCAGTCTTCTCTTTGCATGATCTTTTGAACCCTACAGCTGGCTCCACAAGTTTTATCATAAAAGCACATATCTCACCAGCTGAATATTGTAACTGTGCAAATGAAAACCCTCTTACTGCAAATGTTGCATTATCACTTAGCTATCACATCAGCATTCAAGTAGCTCAACCCACCTTTCAAAATTACAGTATATTATTTCCTCCTGTCAAATAATTTGTTTCTTTCAGAAATTCCTTCTTATTAATTTCACAATAAAGATTTTTTGTTTAGTACTAAGTTATCTCGAAGAGTAGGGGTTGAACTCAGATGGATTTTATGTACATACAAAACAGGCCTTGGGAAAACTGTATGCAATAGCCTGAAACAGTCCATATGGGATGCCCACTACTTAGATGTTCCCCAAAATGCACAGGGAATATGTGAGATATTCTTTTGTAATTGCTACAATAGCACTGAAATACTATATAAAACTGACTAAGAAGTCTAGTTTTCCCAAAGGATTTCTACTGCTGTTTTTTTTATAGCTAATGGGTTTGATGCCCAGTGAAACTAAGCTTTGACTAAGCATGTCTTCAAGATAAGCTTTTATCTATATGGCCTTATGAAGTCAGAGTGGTCTTAAATATCACCATTCTCAACTGCCCTTCTATAATGGTATGTAGAGCCACGGAGGGCAGAAAGTGCCTGTGCACCTTTTGAATTCCCAGTTGGAAGTCTCCTTGCCTTGAGACAAGGAGCTTTCATTAAATTCATCTGGACTCTTAACTCTCACATAAGAACTAGAAAGTGGTCCAACTTTGAAGTTAATTCTTTTAACTTGTTTTCCTAATTAAAACAAAGCTTTAGTTAGAAACACAGCCCCCTCCCCCGGCCCTGTCATTTCCATAGTCCTGTAACAAACGTGCTTTGATTTTGCTTTAAATGGGAAATGGGGAGTGGTGGTGTGTGTGGTAAGATCTTTGATCTATAGAAGAACATTAGGCCATTTTAGCCCAAAAGGAATTTGTTTGAGAAACTACATGAAAATAGCAGTTGAAACATAATGCAAACTTAATTCTAACTGATGCTGTTTTGAAAGCTATGCAGTTCTAGTAGTACTTTAATTTTGAAGGTTACATAATGGCATACTTCAGTCTGTCAAATAATGCATTTTATATTCCTATAAAATATTTGAAAATTGTATAAGAAAGATGTCTTTATCCACAGATTTCACTTAGTAAAGACAATAATGGTTTTTCCCTATGGCAGGTATCTATGCTACGAGCTGCATTATGTTATCATCTGGTAGCTGTTGTTGTAGCATATAATATCTTTTAAAATAAGCCAAAGATATAAGTTGTAAAATAATGAACGTCTTCTCAGATTGTTAAGATTGTGTCTGTTGCAGTATGTGGAGTTTTACATGGAGCATGCAGTCCCACTGATGTTACCTAAGATGGAATATTCACTATCATATTTTCTCTGAAAAATAATGAACTTTTAAACTTTTAAAATGTCTTCTAAAGAAAGCTGGTGAAAAGATCTCCTGGAGAGATCTATTCTTTTCAGTTTTGAAATATGCTGTACATTTTTGGTTAGTCCATTAACTTTGGCAACAAAAAGATGTGTTCCCCACTAGTCAAACCTTTAGGCTTGAGAGGGTGAAGTAGAGACCCCACAGAAGTTCTTTTGTGGACCTAGCCCTGAGTCACAAACAAAATAAATGGCTAGGCAGAGAATTTAACCTTAACTGGTTAAACCTGGAGATAGTCCTGCTTTTTTGACATCTGATTCTCATCCTCCAAGATGAGCGCCAAAAAGTAAGGCCTTGTCCAACACCTGTCCCCAGATTGAGAGACATACTGGCTAACTAAGCTACAGAACTTCTAAAATAAAACTCAGTTGGTAGAAAGATATGAGTCTGCCTGGTACCGTTAAAGAGTACAAGACACTCAGCAAGTACTTCTAAGAGCTTCAGAGTGCCAGTCCTGTCTACAACTTAACTGACATTATCGGATGAAGAATCACTTTATTTATTATACAGGTGTAGGATGCAATGTTTAGTACAGTGAAGGTTCACTCTTCCTCCAAGGTCTTGATATACTATTACAAGAGGAACACCTGGTATTGATTAGTAACCTTGTTTATCACAGGTTAGAGTCAAGAGTCAAGAGACTCTTTTGACTATGAACTTTCCTGCACTGACTTCTAACATGTTTTTTGGCTTACCAAAAAACTAACTTTGGACTAACTTTCTAAGAGAACTAGAGCAGGACATCATTAATCCTCAGCATGTCCTCAGATGTGCTGAGGGTCTGTCATCTCAGAGGTCCTTTTCAACCTGGCTGATTCTATGATTCTAGGATCACTGTTTTAGAATCAAACTACAGTATCTTTTGTTACTCAGTCTACAAGAAAATTCATGTCTAGCCTGTGGCTACCTTCTGAAGCTTCCTAATTTGAAGAGCTTCAGTCTCACTGTTAACTCCTTTCCCTACCTTCTAAAATAAGATGTAGGTCTCTGAGAAGGTGCATGGTACCAGCACCATAGCACAGGTATGGAACAAATGGCTTAGCAGGTGGAACCTTTTCTCAGTGGTTGCAGATCCGGCAATGACTCCCATGGGACACAGACCAACCCCACCACGGCCAAGTAAAGCAGACTCAGACCTTACATCTCCTGCTAGGTCTTGGATAATATACACCTCTATTATGCGATCCCTGTGATCCATTTGGATTGTACCTGCACTTCTGGTGAAGATTACTGAAGAAGTATGTGCACTTAAGCAGCTTCTACACTTGCATACAGGAGATACCAAGCTTGCCCAGTAATTAACGTCTATAAAATCTCATCTCTAAACGAGTACACTGAGTGTACTCTGTCTCATTTCTAAGTTTTAGAAAAAGAATATGTATATCATCGCTTCCTACAGAGTAGATTCAAGAAGGTGAACTGCACTAGTTTCTGAACTACTTTTGGGCTTCAAACTGATGACCTTCACGTTGGAACTGAGATACAGGGCTTTTTTCTAGTTTCAATTTTAGAGATGTAAGGCTATGACATCTGCCTTAGCATCTGTACTGAACAATTTAGGCAGGATAAGCTTTCTAATCCAGGCTCTCTGTAAGCGTTCATTTAACCATCACAAAGACGCTCTGGGTTTGTAGGTTTAGGATAATTTGGATACTGCACGTTAAGTCAGTAGAGAAGGGCAATAGGTCCTTTCTTAATTGTCAGTTTGCTTTTTTGAACCAAGTGACCTATGGCTGCATAATATGCTTTAATCAAAAGCTTATGAAGAGCTGGCAGCAAAGCACCCCAGTACCTTTACCTAGGCTGTCTATTGGGACATTTTATCCAAGCCCTTGCAGCTCCTACCTCAGGATGAATGATACTACACCAAGCAAATAAAATTAAACTGTGATCAGAACATCAGTAAATAGAGATTCTAAGTGTAGGTTAAAGCATAGCACTGGTTCCTGACATCTCTTACCTAATGTTATAGTTGGCATCAGCCCTTGAACAAAGTAGAGAAAATGAAAATGGTCTTTTAAACATTCACTTACTTCATCAGTTATATTCAGTTTTTGTATTGAACTTCTTGAAGGTTTAAGATATCCCATACGAAAGTTGCTCACAGTATCGTATTGCAGCAAGGCAGGTAATTCTGATTTGACAACATGATGAGAAAGGTTTTTAGCGGTGGCAAAATGTTAGTAATCCTGGCGTAGGTAATACAGACCCTTGTAGGAATTAACGAGTTCTGTAGGGTCACATATCCCTGAGAGAACTGCAAAACTGGAGGGAATGAAAGAAAGGGCTGTTAAGATGATCAGGGTAATGGAGATCTGCCTGTGTGAGAAGAGCCTCCGTCAATGAGGACCGAGAGGTGATATGACTGGTCTCCATCAATATTTTAAAAGGCCAACATCAAAGAGAACAAAAAGCTAATTAAACTAAAGGACAATGTTGGCACAATGACAAGTGGGTATAAATTGGCCATGAGTACACTTAAGTACGAAATGAGAAGAATATTTATAATTAGCAAAAGAGACAAATTTTGAAAAAGGAGGTGCAAAGTGCCCAAGAACAGTACATGGTGATTTTCCCTAACAGCTTCTCTAAGTTTGACATGGCTGGCTGCGATCATAAGGGAAGAGATT